TGATTGACATCAAGTCATGCATATCATTATGACAGTGTGCGTATGTATGTATGTATGTATGTATGTATGTATGTATGTATGTATGTATGTATGTATGTATGTATGTATGTATGTGTGTGTGTATGTGTGTGTATGTGTGTTTGTTTGTGTGTGTTTATAATTTGAGATAATTTCAAAACAAAGGTCGCGAGCTTTATGCTAAAAGATGAAGACGATAACGAATACCAAATAAGACAGGCTAGCTTCCATGTGTTTGTGTACTTTCATGACGTATGTGTGACGTCATTTCCTGGTTGATTGGGTGATGGGGTGATAATGACGATGACAATGATGACGACGACGATGATGATGATGATGACGATGATGATGAAAGGTTGTCAATGATGGTGAAAAATTCTCTGACGTCATCGGTGGCTACTGCTCCAGCTTCAGTGGCGACCAGACGGTGGTGCGTTTTGACCAGCAGTTTAACATGATGGGAGAATACTATTTTTTGGTGTTAGTAAGAGTAGTAAGAGTAGTAGTAGTAGTAGTAGTGGTATTAGAAGCCGTAGCAGTAGTAATAGTAATGATAGTACTGGTAATAATTATAAAACTATAATTATAATTAAAAGAAAAAAAAATAATAATAATTATTATTATTATTATCATTATTATTATTATTATTACTATTATTATTATTATTATTATTATTATTATTATTATTATTATTATTATCAGAGATGGAATAAAAGAGAGTCCCCCTTTGAGAGTTGAAGTACACGGAAGGAAGGCGGTTGAAGCAAAAATTTCCGCGCTCGGCTTCGAACCCGGTATCATTCGGTTGGATGAAGGTGAGGCTTGAGCCACCACATCACAGCCACCATCATCGTCATCGTCGTCGTCATCATCGTCATCATCTTCAATACAGGTAACGCAATAACATGGGAGTGGAGAGATAGTGAGGTGCCGTTGAGCGTAGTGGAGGGATCGTACGATTTGAAAGAGTGCAAACTTGTGCAGTATAAATCTAGGTGAAGGAGTGACTGAATGATTGAATGAATGACGGAATGAGTGTGTGAATGCATGAATGAACGAAAAACTAATGAGTTAACAAATGGATAATGAAATGAATGGATGAATTGATAGTTGGATGAGTAAATGAATGAATGAACGAACGACCAAACAAACAAACAAACAAATGAGTAGATGGATAGATGGATGAATGATGGATGGATAGATGACTCAACTATAAAAAATTAATGAAAATTTTTTTGAAATTTCATAAAACTTCCTAGAAACGTTCCAACAAAAAATGGATCATTCAAAAAGAATTTCAAGTTCGTCTAGTCATTTTAACAATTTAACTTCTCTTAGAAATAATGAACGAGTGAATGAAAAAATGAATGGATGAGTGAGTAAGTGAATGAATGAGTGAATTAATGAATGAATGAGTGAGTGAGTGAATGAATGAAAGAGTTAGTGAATGAATGCCAGAATAATATGATGCTTAGAACCCATAAACGAATGAATAAATGAATAAACAAGCGAACAAACGAATGAATAAACAAATAAAAAAATAAACCAACGGAAAAATGAATTAATTAATCTACTAATTAACATAAATTATGTTAATCAGCAAGCCGGGGATGTATTATTTCCAAACGGAGAGCAATAAAAACGAAGACGATAGGAGAACGTGCATCGTTCACGTCCGGGAAAGACAAAGGCCAGTTAATTATAATAATTAATTCTATTATCGCAATTAATGACGTCATAATAATAATAATAATTAATATTAGAGAGAGTGTAACTTTGTAATTGTGTGTCTCTTTTAATGTTATTTTCAAGAAGGCAGCCAATACAAATATATTCGAATGTAAAATAATGACTGTAAAACCATATTCCCGCCAAAATTCCGTCAAAGTTCTCTGAATTATTTCTAACCTAATGTCTTTGTAGTTTTTTTTTTCATTGTAATTCAGCGTGAACATGGACGAACTGAGAGGTTTCTCATGGACGCACTCTTGATCAAATCAAAATTTTAATTCAATATAATTCTATTTTCTCTCTCTCTTTTTCTTTCTCTCTCTTTCTTTTCTCTCTCTCTCTCTTTTTCTCTCTTTCTTTCTCTCTTTTTCATATGAGATTACTCTCCCTTTCTCTCCAAACAGTCTCTTTTCTCTCTTTCTATCTGTTAGTATATATTTATTTGCTTATTCGTTTGTCTTAATCTGTCTATCTGTCTATCTGTCTCTCTCTCTTTTTTTTTGTCTCTCCACCTCTTTTTTTCTGTTCCTTTCTTTTCATCCTCCATTCATAAAGTTTTATACATTTGTACTGAAGTTTTTCAATTCTTTGAATACATTGGTTTTGTTTTTGAACCGTCCAGAATGAAATGAATGCTCTACGTTTGAATTTATTTTCTTCCTCAATGCCTTTGTAGGCTGTCGGTATTTCTACAGCGGTATTGTTGGCGTATTTTTATTGTGGTACTTATGTCTGGGTCCTGTCCTGTTCT